GATTTAAAACAGGGCATAAGCTTTTGTGCTTTCATCTTCTGCACATGAATGCAACTTACGGGAAAAGGACAAGGAAATCTTTCTCAGATAACATCAAAGATGGTTTGGCATGACCTCACAATCAACACACAAACGCTCTCTCTTTCCCTTCCTTCCTCCCCTCTCCCCATCCTCCTCCCTATCCTCTTCCTCTCCCTTTCCCACTCTCGCCCTCTCCCCTCTCCTCCTCCACACCAACATCAACGCCAAGCCCACTCAGACCCCGCTCCCACTCCAGGCACAGAGGACGCCCTCCCCTATCCCTCTTCTCTCCTTTCCCCTCTCCCCCCTCCCTCCTCCCTCCCTCCAAGCCACACCAACATCAACGCCAAACCCACTCAGACCCAACCGCTTCCCACTCCAGGCACAGAGGACGCCCTGGTGGTGCAGTTCCCCGACACGGACCGACCCGTCCCGAGGCCGAACTACCTGCCCAGGTCAGTGCCGCGGGACTTCGCCGAGCGCCTGGCGAGCTTCCACGGCGACCCCTTCGCCTGGTGGATGGGGCAGTTCATGAAGTACGCCATGAGGATGAACCGGGGATTCCAGGAGGCCGTTGAGAAGCTCGGCGCCCGCCTTGGCTTCGAGGGTCCTGTTGTTGGGTGCGTGGTGGGGATTGTGATTTGCTTTAGGGTTAGAAAAATAAAGTAAAAAAAAAAGAGGAAAGAAGGAGGGAAAAAGAGGAAAAGAAGGAGGAAAAAGGAAAAGGAGGAAAAAAGAGGAAAAGGAGGAAAAAAAGAGGAAAAGAAAGGAGGAAAAAAAGAGAATATATAGTGCACACACACACACACACATACTCTCGCGCGTGTGTGTATGTGGATCTATTTTCTTTTTTTCTGTTTCTTTAGCTTATCATTGTTATAGAGACAGTAATAACATGGTCATTATGATTAGGACAATTCTCATACTTCAAATAAAAAAACATCATTCGTTTGCTCTTTGTCTTCGTTATTGCGGTTATTTCTTAACATCAATACTTAGTATTTTTATCATTGTTATAATCTTCATTATCAATATTGATTCATTAACATTAGTTTCAACGACTCTTACTGTTATTATTCTTAGTATCATCATCACATTATTATTATCATTATCATCAATATTCTATTATTATTACTATTATCATTATTATTAAAATTCTCATTCTTCTTCTTATTGTTTTTGTCATTATTACTATTATTAGTATTATTATCATTATCATAATTGTCATTATTATTATTATCATTATTATAACTGTTATCATTATCATTAAAATGTTGTTGCTATTGCAGTTGTTATTGCTTTTATTATTACTATCATTATTTTTAACAGTATCAATTGCAAAAACACTGATGTGTTTTTGCAGTTGATACTTTTATTGGTAATAATGATATCCTTATCATCATTATTTATGATAATGATTCCGGCAATATTGATAATAGAAATGATAATAATGATAATGATAGTAATATAGATGATAATGATATCAAATATTATCATTATTACTATTACTATTATTACCATCATTATTATTAACATTATTATCTTTATCATTACCATCATCATCATCATCATCATCACCATTATTATTATTACTGATGTTTTTTATTATTATCATTATTACCTCTGCCAAGGAAGTCATGTTTTGGGTACAGCTGGCTAATTAGTTTGTTTGTTGGACGGCAGGATAGCTTAATAAGTTTTATCACAATTTTTTTTTTTTTTTTTTTTTTTTACCAAAGGTGTGTCTAGATGCCATTATATTTTGGATTCAGCAATCTGTCATGATCTGGATCCAGGAATCTGTTTTGTAATTTTTCAAATGTGACTATTTCTATTGCTTTGGCGGAGGTATGCGCTCTCTGAGTGTTTCCAGTTATTGCCATTATCATTATCATTATTTTATCATCATTATTATTACTATTGTTATTATTATTACTATTATTATTGTTGTCATTATTATTATTATTAATGTTATAACTTTACTTTTATTGTTATCATCATTATTATTACTATTATTGTTGTTATCATTAGTGTTATTAGTAGTAATAATAATGGTAGCATTCTTATCATTATTGTTTAATAATAATAAAAAGGATCATTATTATTATTATCATTAACTGTAAGCCCTGCCAATAACATGATTGCTTTAACGGTCGTACCTTATTATGGCTGTTATTATCATATAATTCCATTCACTAGTTCCGCCGTTGCTATTCTTCCCTCAGAGTGCAAGTCAGAAGAACAGACAAGCTGCTTCACGACTCCAGACTCATAGAACTGGAGGAGTACATGGAGGCCGTCGACGACTTCTACAACGACCTGGAGGTTCGGGGGACGACGGTGACGACTCGCAAGGTCTACCTGGCCACAGACGACCCGCAGGTCCTCAAGGAAGCCAAGGAGAAGTTAGTGTGTGGAGTCGTCTTGTGTGTGATGTGTGAGGTTCTGCGTTTGAGTTTTGAGTATGTGTGCGGGGTCTCTCTCTCTCTCTCTCTCTCTCTCTCTCGCTCTCTCTCTTCTTCTCTCTCTCTCTCTCTCTCTCTCTCTCTCTCTCTCTCTCTCTCTTCTCTGTGTGTGTGTGTGTGTGTGTGTGATGTGTGAGGTTCTCGTTTTGAGTTTTGAGTATGTGTGCGGGTCTCTCTCTCTCTCTCTCTCTCTCTCTCTCTCTCTCTGTGTGTGTGTGTGTGTGTGTGTGTGTGTGTGTGTGTGTGTGTGTGTGGTGTGTGTTGTGTGTGTGATGTGTGTGTACGAATGGAAATTCCTATGTAATAATAGTAAAAATAATGATAATAATGGTAATAATAATGGTAAAAAGAATGCTATCATTATTATTATTACTACTGCTATTAGTTATTAATGTTGTCATTTTATTATTATCGTTATATTATCATCATTACTACTACTATTATTATTATCATCATCATTACTACTACTATATTATATATCATTATACTGTTACAACTACTGTTATTGATAATAATATCAATTTTATGTGATAGTAATAACTACAATAACACTCAATCTACTCCTAATAATACCTACATCCACGCGCAGCCCAACCCTCCCCCTCCCTCCTCCCTCCCCCCCGGAACACAAACTAACGGCTCCCTCCTCAGGTTCCCTCGCCACGCCTTCGTGTTCAACGAGGAGAGCGTCGCCTCCGCCAGCATGAGGCAGCGGAGGAGTGACGCCAACATGAGGAATCTTATGAGCGATGTTTACTTCCTCTCTCGCTCGGATTTCCTCGTCTGTGGCATGTCGTCCAACGTAGGTCTTCTGAGTGTTTTTATTATTATTTTTTGGGTATTGTTCGTACCCTTGCGTCTTCCAAAGAGTCTCTCCGAAGGTGGGAGCAAATACTGGAGGTTCTTTTCGCCGCTGTGATTATTTGGAGATACAGAGAGAGGAAAAGATGCGTCCTTCCACTCTCGCTACCTCGGGACCTCTGATCATTCGTGACTTGCGCATGCGTGAGAGTCAAAAACAAAACGGTTGCCACGTCATATAATGTGCAAATGAGTTATGCCAGCCGGTATGTTGTGTTATGCCAGCCGTGTATGTTGTGTTATGCCAGCCGTGTATGTTGTGTTATGCCAGCCGTGTATGTTGTGTTATGCCAGCCGTGTATGTTGTGTTATGCCAGCCGTGTATGTTGTGTTATGCCAGCCGTGTATGTTGTGTTATGCCAGCCGTGTATGTTGTACACTACAGGAGACATGAATACAAATTATGGTAATATATATGTGATAATACATATGTGAGTTAAATACATGGTTTACATACATGCTATCTATATAGATGACACTTCACATGTCCACAGGACCAACGTTGATAGCGTTACTGTGGTTAAAGTTTGTGTTGTTATTAACGTTATTATTATCACCATTAGTGTTATCATTGTAATTGTTACTGTTACTTTTATCATTATCAATGTAATTGTTATTATTATTATTGCCATAGTCACGGGTATAAGTATTTTCTGTTGCTCTTGCTCAGTAATTGGTTACTTTTACTGTAGAATGATTAGTGGAAGGACATATTAACAAAATATCTAGTAGAATGCTGGGTACTGAACAGTGCCTTGACTTCACTGAAATTCCTCTGTCTCTCAACCAAGCATGACTGAAAATGAAAATGAAAATCAACTTCAAAATAATTTGTTTAATCACTACAAAAGATCCAGAAAGATAGAAGACATCATTAATTAAAAAAATCAAATCGGTCGTCGGTTGGTGCAGCTCATCAGGTTAATTGGGTGGCAATCCTTACTTCACCAAAACCACGCGTTTTCCTTTTCTTCTTCGTCGGCTGTTCCTCTTTTGCTGTTCTCATTTTCTGGCCCATTTTCTTGGACCTTTTCTTCTAACTTGGGTTTTCTGCAGCGCGGATGGGCCATGTAGCTATTTTATGTTCTCTTCTGCGGATTCTCTTGCTTCTGGTAGGGAATGGGACAACTGGCCGCGGGAAACGGGGGCATATGGAACTATCTTAATGTTTTTATTGATTAAAAACCAAGTAGTAACTTTACGGAGTACTTAATGGAATAAGATTATAAAAAAAAATCTTAATGTTTTTATTGATTAAAAACCAAGTAGTAACTATATGAACAGTTATGTATAATAAGTATTATTGGTAAAAATTGTTTCAATGTGTCTTTAATTATTTAAAAACAAGAAGCAACATCAGAAATTTATGAAAAGTTATGAGCAATTCCCCTGAGATATTCAACAACATTACGACTCTCAAATGTTCTTACAATTGCTTTAATTCTTTCATCTGCTTGTCTGTATTTCTTCAACTTGACAGGTGGCTCATGCCTTTTGACAGGTGGCTCATGCCCTGACAGATGCCCTTTGACAGGCTGCTAGCATGCCATGCCATGCTCTTAATATAGGTCTCTTCCATGTTGCACTTTTTTCAAACCATCAATAAATTTCCAAACAGTAGGATGTTGCATTCCAAGTTCATGTTGCAGTCTACGATGAGCAGCTTCTGCGT